CTAGTCCACACGTGTGACCTTTCCCGCTGAGCTAGATTTCACAGATAATGAGTGGGATTCAGGAACTCCTGTTTGAACTTTAGACTAAGTCAGCTTGAATTTAATATTCGTGCACAGCTACAATACTTTCACATAAGGAAGATTACAAATGTGCTTCATGAGCGTAGACAAGCAGAATCAAGTCAAAACCAAACTAGATACAAAGACAAAAGATTAGCATGACGGGGAAACTGAGGAAAAGCTACGTTTGTCTTACATGCAACGTCTTGCTGTTAAGTATCAGCTACAAACAGCTTATCAGAGCTGCTCAGTTAGCTGTGTCAAAAGAGCACATTAAAGCTGTCTCCATTCCTCTTGGCTGTATGTTCTGTTCAGCTTGGGTGCTGCTTGCACTGTTACAGTACCTGTTATTTCTAATACTGCTGTCTTAATCTATCAAAACAGTGTTGCCAAGGAAACAGTCTACATTTCGCAGTAAAAAAAAACCCCACAGTCGATGCTTAGGACACGCAGTACATATTGAGTCACGGAATCACATGAACAGGGACTTCTTTATTCATTTATTATGTTAGTGATTTCATTGCAAATGCTTAGAGACGCATCAAATTTCTGACAAGCAGCATCTGCATTAAGCGCGGTCTAAACTATCAACTGCAGCAATTCACCGTTCCTCAGCCATTACAGCAGAATGAGTGTTGAGCTGCACTGGAAGTGAAGTCTGTGCGTGGGTGAGAAGCACTGCTGCTGCTGACTGCAGCTGGTTCTTTCCTCGCATTCTCTTTTTTTAGCCAAACTGCTCATTTGTGTGTCTTTGACGTCACGCACATACAGAGAGAGAGAGAGATTTAGCTCAGCAGATCTGTTCAGCCTCTTTCCCTGTGTGATTCATATATAATTAGTCAGAGTAGCAGTACATTTCTCCTGCTGTCTGTCTCTGTTATTGTCTTTCAAATTCTCACACTCTGGTCTTAAATGTGAAGGTGGTAAACACAAGTTTCATGCAGCGCCACACTACATCTACACTGGCCAGCCATAATATTAAAACCACCTACCTGATATTGTGTAGCTCCCGCTTGCGCCACCAAAAGATTTGTTGACAACACTTGGGGCACACATTCTGGATGTCCTCTGACCTCTGGCACAGGGACATTGGTGGGTGTCACCAGGTCAGTGCTTTGAACTCCAAATCATGTGCACATTTCCTTGATACAGCAGGCGCTTGTGCAATGTAAAGGTATGCTGGGTCTGCACTAGAGATGGCACGATACCACTTTTTTATGTCCGATACCGATAACGATATCATAAATTTGGATATCTGCCGATACCGATATGAATCCGATATAGTGTTTTTAATCAAAGTAATATTAAATAAATTCTAACAACAGCTTATCAAGATTAAACGTGCTGCTGTTGTTCAGCTGCTGGTTTCCTCTTTCTGGCGCGAAGTGAGCAATAAACAAAGAAGAGAGACGGACTCGCGACAGAAAAGCCGATCAGCTGATCATTGATCAGTTTAATGATTGAAGTAGCAGCAGGAGAGAGAGAGGCAGTCGCTCCATATATCTGTTGTTAAGCTTAACGTGGGAATGCTTTACAAACATTCAGAGATGAACTTACACACTTGCTTTACTTCTCTCTGGGATAACTTCCTCGGAGATGAAATGCCGGTTTGGTAGCGATGCTAC